ATGCATCGTGATAGAATCGCATCGTGGCCTGTGAATCGTGATTCGAATTGAATCGTGACTTCTTTGGCAATATCCACCCCTATCGTGAGCTGTGAACTTTTAAACCCTGCGGTTTTGTTACAGTTTGCAGCTAGAACTCTATATATACACGTCTATATATACACTCATGTGTATTGACAGGGCGTCTATGGGATACTTGCTCTTGTTGTGGCTAGAGTATTGTGTTTTTTGTTGTCATTTTTTGTTTCCTTATCTCTTGTTTCATGAAGGTACAGAAGCAGACTTGTAGAACTTTGTGCATATTTTCCGTGTTTTGTTTTCTTTCTCATTTTCTATCTCTTTCTTACTCCCTTTAATTCTTATCCTCTCTCCCTATCTTTAGGGGAGTGTTAGCGTAGTGGTTAGCGCATTGCACTTGTGCTCCGAGAAGGTTGCAAGTACTCGATCCCCACAGCCTCCACTTAGGCTTCTTGAGCAAAACCCTTAACCCCTGATTCCTCCCCGAGTGCCACACAATGGCACCCCACTTTTGACCCATCCAAGGGGATGGGAAGGGCAGAGAACAAATTTCCCCATTGTGGGACAAGAAAGGGATATACTTTTTCTTTTCATCTCACCTCCCTTTCTGTCTTTCTTTCTGTTGCATACAATTTTATACCCTAAACTATTTCTAATGAAGCTTCATAAATAATTCCCAAGCTAATTCATGGCAACAACCACAATGGTCTACTTGTGAAAGCAGATCAGTTGGGCTATTATATCGCTCAGGGACATCAATTCCCAGAACTATATATTGACAAAGGAGGACACAGGGAATAATCAATGAAAAACATCCTGTGCAACTTTTGCTAATACCGTTTAATGGTTTCTCCTTCAAGTGGTTTTTAGTCTACTCAAGATACATTTAAACTATCACATTTTCACATGAACATATGAAGGCTACTATATTATTGGTATACATTTTTCTTAATCAAGACAACTGGATATATTTTCCAATCTGGTTTATTACAGTTTTAATCCAGGCTACTGGTTATCTCAACGTTTAGATTGACTTCTCTACTATGAATAGAATAGTCACAGTTATTTGAAGCTATTAGCTAATGCTTTAAGTGCCAGGCATTTGATTTACTTGCAGTTAAGACAGGCATCCACAAAAAGCTACAGCAAAGGAAGATGCACAGCTGCAACAAAAGCTACACATTCTATAGATAACTGATAAATATTCCAATCGAGTTGTTTTATAGCTACTGAATCATGCAGGGTTGATATTGATTATGATAAATTGGTTTAACTGTAATATTGCTGTTATTTAGAAAAATAAAAAAAACATAAAAATCATATTCCTTTAGGTTTGTGTCAGTAAGTGTGCAAAGATGCAGGCTCTACATGCCACAATGAAAATGAGGAAAACCTCACTGTGCTTGTTAAGCCTTCATACTTAAATTGCTTGTTTCTGTTGTTTTGTGTTAAATAACTTATTCTTCCACTTTAAAGGTTTTGGCACAACCTTCTCGCCCTGCATCATTTGTCTCACCCAAGTCAGAGTTTTTAAAGCAGGGTGAAAATTTCTAGCAGTATTGATCAAACACAATGATGACAAAAGCTTACTTTTTTAAGATTATCATTTGATACAGTGACTGAGGGCAATATTAATCTAAACGTTATTGGCACCAAGTGACTTCTTGCTCAGGTTTTACCGAAATATCAAATCACCAATAAAAATACACTTCATGAAAGCCTTTTAATTCCGATAAATTGCCCGTTACAGAACCATTGTATCACTCGAAAACAAAGCTACAGAGGCTTAAAAAGAACTCTTAAAAACAGAGAAAGGATGTTTCTGAAAACCCCCAACTCTATTAAAAAAAACAGGATGCCAAGTCTTCCTCAGACAAGCTTTTGCATAGAGCTAACTTCATAAAGCGTACAGAGTAACGAGGTCAGGCAGGTGTGAAATCTGCCTGCTTGTGCACCGCTTGCATGATTAAACTGTTAACATCTGTACATGTGGGCTGTAGGGGGTATGTTCATTTGAAAAAAACAAAATGCAAAAAAGTAAGGCTAAATCTTCCCAACTTTAGAATCCTCATACAGACTTGATTCATACATTCTGAAGAATTTCTAAACAGTGTTCGACTATCTCCTGTATACTACCTTTGTTTTCCCAACTTAATATACCAAAACTATGAGTCTTTTTTAAATGATAACAATCTTTAATGGTTAAAGCTAACCAAATCATTCACAAAATACATATGTATAAAAAAATGTCAAACTTTGATAGGATTCTCGTTCGAGCTCCCATGTTTGTTAAGTTTATTCAACACAAACCACTGAGCCTAGTCCTCTTTGTCATTAAATACACCTGGCTAAGTTAAACAGGAATAGCCATTAAATGGAATACTGAAACCTATAAGGCCTTCTACAAACAGAGATCCAACAAAGAAAAAATGGCAGGCAATTTCAGAAGGTTAATACGGAAGAGGATTATGGCCACTGAAAAAAATGTAAAAAAGTTAACTGATTTTTAAATTTTATTTCAGTACAATATGACTTTAATATCAGAATTCTGACTTTAATCTCAGAATTTTGGATCCTAATGTAGATGGGCACCATGAAGGAAGAGATGTGGGAGCACTCAGCTTCACTGACAAAGATGGGAGTTCTTTGGGAGGGCCAGTAACACATTGGTGGAAAATGACGGAATTAGGCGACTTTTTACATGCCTGAGGGGTCCATGATGCTATTTTATTAATGGAAGAGCTATAGGTGATTAAAACAGAGCTAGTTTAGTCTCTAAAACAGAAATAGCTATGGCTTAATGCTAACATGTTTGCTAGGTGTCAGAATTCAGTAGGAATTCTGAGATTAAAGTCAGAATTCTGAGGGGAAAAAAACAACCTTTTTCTCATATACAGAAATAAAATTTAAAAATCAGTTAACTTTTTTTTCCCCAGTGGCCCTAATCCTCTTCCTTATTCTACAAATAGAAATCCAACAAAGAAAAAAATGACAGGTAATTGCAGAAGGTTAACTATCAAGCAAAAGCAAAATGTATGAAACGCTGAACATCTATTTTTTTGAAAGGCTATCAAATCCCATTATGAATTTTTGTGAGTTTAAATCAATAAATGTAACGTAATCTGTATTCCTTAAGTTATACTGATGAGAAAACCGTGGCAGTGCAAGGTCCGTGGGATTCACTGATCTTTATTGACCCCAGTACTCAGCATTACAGTCCTAATACCGGTGGCATGTCAAAACCATCTGGATTCACGTTACAATAGCTGTGGAAATGACCTCTTCACTGATTAAACATCTTGAGACACGGTTTCACTTACCTACGTTTCAAAACCCGAGAGCATAAATAATATAGCACAAAGCTAATCAACGCAGAGCTACTAGAAACCCGTGTCTTAGAAGCGTAACGGTGGCTTAATAAACCCTCACAAAGCTTGGTATTCTTACACTCTGTGACATTATCATCATAGAAATCTTTCTATACAACCATGCCAAGAAAACCGATGTCTTGGCTCATAAAAAAGGATCAGAACTGAGGGCCTTCTCTGGCCAAAGAGGCCAATTAGCTCCCATGTCTTCGACATTTTGATATAAAATGCTAACAGAAATCTCTTACCTTGGTGATTGAAAAGCCTCCATAGCTTCGTAAAAAGTATTCCCATGGCTAACGGTGAAGTTTTTTCGATGCCAGCTTTGTAAATATCGGCAACCAGTCAGCTAGCTAGCGTTGATGATAATTATTGCTATCAACTTTACCTAGCTAGCTAGCCTGGGAACTACTCAAACACAAATTTAAACGTTTAAATACGACCTCCATCATGCTGGCGTCGCCCACTGCTCAATAAGTCATTTTACGGTAGATGTGACATGTAAACATTACAGCTGGGATTAAGAGAAACAAGAGAAAAGCGGCAACCAGTATGGCTAAGCGGTTGGTATCAGCTGGATGTTGTAAAGTGCGCTGGGCTGTCAAGTTTGCGCATGCGCACAATTACTCTGCAATAAAACCTGATACAAAAAATATATAATAAACTTCCACCCATACGGAAGAGGATTAGGGACACTGAAAAAATAAAAAAGTTAACTGATTTTTTAATTTTATTTTAGTTTAATATGGGGAAAAAGTCAGAATTCTGACTTTTTTCTCAGAACTTTGACTTTTTTCACACAGTTCTGACTTTAATCTCAGAACTTTGACTTTTTTAACACAATTCTGACTTTAATCTCAGAACTCTGACTTTCTTCACACAATTCTGACTTTAATCTCAAAATTCTGACTTTAATCTAGGATCTTGACTTTTTTTTCTTAGAATTCTGACTTTAATCCCAGAATTTTGGATCTTAATGTAGATGGGCACCATGGAGGAAGAGATGTGGGAGCACTCAGCTTCACTGACAAATATGTGAGTTGTTTGGAACGGCCAGTAACACTTTGGTGGAAAATAATGCAATTAGGCAACTTTTTACATTCTCATACTGAAATAAGATTTAAAAATCAGTTAACTTTTAAAGAAATTTGTCAGTGGCCCTAATCCTCTTATGTATACAACTGTTTAGTTTATTTCAGCAATCGTAAAATTATATGCACACATATGTTAAAATACATTTGCATTTTCCTAATAAGCAGTTTTTATATTTTTTTAAAATAATTAGTGATGTCCCTCTATTTGGAAATAAAAGTAAAAACATTATTTCTGATCCTCCAGATTTTCTTCCTGTATGTCATGTTTGACTCATGGAATGAAAGTAGCTACATGGTATATTACAAGGTTCAAAAGTATGCAATTCGAAGACTGTGCTCTAGTTTTCCTGTGTTTATTGGCAGTGCACATTTAAATAAATAAAATAAAAAATACATGAAAGTCCACTACATTTGGCAAAAAGCAGCATGTATCAGACATGTATTTGGAAAGACATGAAGGTGATAATACAGTATACCAGCTGATTGTCTGGTGTTGGAAATCTAATTTTAATGTGATTTAAACAACAATCTGTGGGTCACATACTGAATATATTTCTCCCTAATTCCTGAAACATATCAAGACTTAAAGCTATTGATATTTCAGACTGTAAACACATACAGATATATCATTTATTTGATGCAATTTCAATTTCCTATTAAAATCAGCAAAAAAGATAAAAAATAATAATGTTCAGGGGGGAATACTGTAATCTACACATTTTCTTGGGATTTAAAGGTATAGTGGAGGATTTTTGCGAATTTTTAAAAATACCTGCCCTCTCCACTTGCACATGCACAACCCTGTACGCGCTCCTGAGAGGGAACGCCTATTAAATCCGTGCGAGCGTGCACAAGCCCATTTCTCCTCGTGCACACTTAAAAGTTGTTGTTTGCATCGCTCATACAAGCTTACTTTCCAAAAGAAGATTTGCGATAAGTGAAAATGGGGATGATCACGTAAGACGGCCTTACGTAAACATATCATCAGAATGATTGACAATTAGGAGGACCACTTATTTAGATGATCCACACGGAACAACAACATCCTCCACTATACCTTTAAAATGAATATCCAATCAAAAAACCTCCAGCACACATTTTCCCTTTTTGGTGAATGTTAACATTTAGTTGTTAGCATAGGTAAGCACAAGGTCAGACTGGTTTATCTCTCCATAATCTTCGTTTTTCCTCAAAGGTTTTTGACGAAAACATTAAAATCATGTGAAAAGCTAACAGGTCAGGATTGCTCACTACTCTTTTAACATTTTTGAGCTACCCAGTGTTATCTATTATATAAAACCTTTAAAAAATATTCTTTCTAAATCTGAGAAACTTGAAAGACCCCTAAATAAAGCCATCAGCTGTTATCAGAGTTACCAAAAATGGAGTTTTAAATAGTTTTTTCTATAATTTTTGGACAATATTTACAAATGGAAGACTTCAATAAGTCACAAGCTAAAATACCCTCTTGTTTTTCGTAGTCATGCCCTGCTAAATTCATATATTTCAAGACAAAAGCTAAACAGTTAGTACAGCATTCCACTACAGCTACAGTGCCTTACAAAAGCATTCACATCCCTTGAACATTTCTGCATGTCATCACATTAAAACCACAGACATCTATGTAGTTTATTAATATTTTTTGCTGTTTATTATATTTTACGTGGTAGACCACGTTTTGAAAACCAAAACAAGGTTTTGATGGGCTACTGTAAAAAACCTTGAACTCAACGCTATTCCCGACATTTTTAATTGGAAAAAGCTTCCGGGATGGGAAGCGAAATGTCTTCAAACTTAAAAACAAAGTCCAGTGGATTGTTTTTAACTTTCTTTCTTTTTTTGGGATGACTATGACCCGGCTGACTGAGAATCATCTCCAGCACCAGCATAAAGTACAAGGTAAATGTGGTGCAAAGGGAAAATTATACATCGGTTCTCAACTTTACTAAAAATCCAAAAAGTTCGGCATGCAATTATATTCATTCTACGTCCACCTGTGGTCAAATATCTTCTACGGCCTCCAACCGGTTTGCTTTGATCACAATTTCCCTTTATTTAGCTTCTTTAATAAAGAAGACGCATCCAATACCACCGCTGGGAATACTCTTGAAAGGCACTGTATAGTAAATAAACCCACAATTATATTCTTGTCAGATGGATAAGATAACAAACGCTACACTTCCAGGTCTTAGTGACCTCTATAGTTCCTGAGGTTTGGAGCTTTTAAATGTCTCTATATCTGCTTGACTTTGGATACGACTGAAACAAAAACAGAGTTCAAGGGGGAAAAAATAAGGAAGAAGGAAGCTTCTGGATGAAGTTTGAAAGAGAAAACAAAACAAATCACATTAAACGCAAAGAGCAAAAGTCAAGAGATTTGGAAACAAGATTTTACAAGAATTCCACGCTCAAGTTGAAGACTGCAGCACACAAATGTATAAATATTGGCATATTTTGCTCCACTCAGCTCTAAGTTATGTCAGAACAAGTACTGAGTTGCTAATCACTGTAGGATCCTGTCAGGCACTGATTTCACAGCCCCTCCTACATGCTACAGGGACAGCTGAGATGGCAGGGAAGGTGTAGAAGGGCCTACACCCCACACTCTCACTCTTTAGCTGATTTTACTTACAAGCTACTTGTTTGACGTGTTAAAACAAGCTCAATTTCCACCCTTTCCTTAAAACAAACATTTTTGTGCTACAAGTCCACCCCCATATTCACATCATAGCAAAGGCAGTTTTTTCACTAGGGTTGTAAATGTCCATTTGGCAACAACCAAGGTAAGATTGGGTTATGAGGTACTACACAGACATAAGAGATTGTCCCAGGTCACATGACTGTAGTAGATTTTATACAACAGAGCTGCTGAGCTCCTGTGTTCATGGTGGATATTTGGAGATGTGTGTCCGCTCAGAGCCTGTGCCTGGAGTCCTGGCTGTAGCCTCCTGGGGATCCACCATTGCGGTGAGGCTTGTAAGAGTCCTGATAGGGGTCTTGGTAGTCTTCCTCCATCAGTGGAGAGTGGTCCCTGCTGTGCTGTGAGCCAGAAGACAGGCGGTTGCGATTCTTCCGTCCTCGTTCGTTGTGATAGTTCTCATCTGCAGGCATCAGAGTGTTGCGCTCGACGGGGGAAAGGTCGGTTGTGGAGTGGTTGCTGTTTCGATTCTTCTGGGCCTATTTGACGTAGAAATATTATACATGTCTATAAGTATGTATACATGATAAAGACACAAATAAATGACACATTACTATTTTTTTTCCTATTGCCTGATAATAAATCAGACCAAACTTTTCCAATAACATACATTTTAAGCTCTGCTCACAGATTCTCTGTGCAATAAAGTTAGGACTTAAACATTGCATTCATTGTCATTAAAATGCCTTGTAACAGACTTCATGTTATGATTAAAATCACATTTTATTTGGAAGACCCATTTGCATCCACACTTTAATTCCTGGCTTACTAGATAATGTGTTAATATTTGAAAATAAGGTTTTATCTAATAATGCGTTCACATCTCACTGCAAATATTCCATATAATCGTGCTTAGATGATGAACAATGCACCATCAGCAATCTAAAAAAATGTACCCAACTATAAACTAGACTTTTCAAAATCCATAACTATTTTCCTGGGGTCTTGTCTAATCTTGGATTTGTTTGTTTTTTTTTAAATATCACACACGAAAGAGGTGTATTTTATTTGTTGCCTCTAAATAAATCCACAGCCGGGCTTCTGTTTAACTCATATTTTGTGACTCAGAAGTTTAAAAAGCCAGGACATTAAATAAAGGCTGTTTGAAATCATTTAAAGTAATTTTAATTTTATTATACTGCAAACTTTAAAGTTAAAGAAAAACAATCTGGGTATGAATATTCTGACATTTAGCAGCAGAGCTAATTTTGGTCTTCTGAACTGACAAAAAAAGAAAGGGAAGGCTTAATCTGATTAAATGTCTAACAGGGAAGAAATAAAGTCATGTGACATTTTAATAATTGTTTAATTTTTTAATATGAATCCTTTGATAAGCCTGTGACTTGACCCTGACATGAAGCCGACTGGTAAGAGCTGCGGTTTTACAAATTAGACAAAATAAACCTTTAATCTAATCCCAGCAAAAATGGTAATATATATGAAATAATTTCAGGATGGTTTAGGCGCTTCTTTTGGATTTATAATAACCCTCCCAATGCAACTTGATTTTCAATACAGACACAGGGCCAACACACGCCAACACAACACAACTGACTTAAAACGCTGCTGCTTTAATTAAAACTAGCTGGATTAGCTGGTTTTCCAACGCTGCAAATCAGATGTAGAGATCTTGTATGAAGCAATCTTCCTGGACAGCTTAAAGCCAAAAAAGAATTCCATAAATGTGACAACAAAGACGTGTGACTCAAAGTATGAGAAAGGGAACAATGGCTTTTTTGACGAAGGGAAAACAAAGCCGCCTGATGTGATTCATTCTAAATGTCTGGGTGTGACGGAAAACAGGTTTT